TGCTAGGCAGGCACTCCTACCACTGAGCTGTATCCCTGCCTGAAATAATCTTTGTGAATGCTACCATAGCCCACCTTTTTAATTCAGTAGTTACGAGTCATCTATGTTATTTCCACTTTTAGAAGGTCAGATTCCGAAGTTAAATGTGATGTGGGGTAGGGTTTCTTAGATGATAAGGTATCTCTGCCTGTGATTTTGTAGTAAAGTATGGTATAGAAGTGACTGCTTGTCTGTGTAAGGGCATTGCCCATTCAAGAATATGGGAGGCCAAAAGTATTGATCCACTTTAGAGATCAGAGTGAAAATTCAAATCTAGAGACAAGGACTGACTCCTCAGCCTTTCCTCCTGACATTTCCAACCCCCCTTTCTCCTGTTTTGATATTTTTTGTTTTGTTTTGTTTTTTGAGATGGGGTCTTGCTTTGTTGCCCAAGCTAGTCTAGAACTTGTGGGCTCAAGTTGTCTTGCCTAAGCCTTTGGAGTAGCTGCAACTACAAGTGCACACCACTGGACCTAGCCCCTTTTTCTATTTTTAGATTTATTCTTATATTTACCTTTCTTCCTCTTTCATGATTCCTATACCTTATAAAGGATTATCCCTTTAGATCCTTTCTAATTCTTTTCCTGGAGCCCATCACAGTGGCGCATGCCTGCAATCTCAGCAGCTTAGGAGGCTAAGGCAGGAGGATTGTGAGTTCAAAACTAGCCTCAGCAACTCAGTGAGACCCTGTCTCTAAATAAAAATATAAAAAAGGGCTGGGATGTGGCTCAATGGTTAAGTGTCCCTGGGTTCAATCCCCGGAAAAACAAAAACAAAAAACTTTACCTAGTTCATCATGCCCTCCCAATCTCTGCCTTAAAACCTCATAAAAAGCTTCATTATTGGCTTCTAAGTGGGATTTTGGTTTTGATTGATTAAATGCTTAGAAATGAGTTTTGGCTACTTAGTGTTTATAATCATTTTTATCAAGTGAAAAATAGTGGCACTAAACCTTGATTCTTTTTCACAGGATGGAGTCCTGGTGGATGAATTTGGATTGCCACAGATACCTGCTTCATAGACTTTCATCATTCAAGTACACATGTAAAATAAACACATATTGTGGGACTAGGAAATATATCCAGATTTTCCATAACAGATTTAAGTTCCTTTCCCTTCTTTGAAGGAAAGGTTAATTACACTGCTCTTTTATTTTTTTTCCGTTAAGAAATTCATTGCTTGGGGAAGCTTTCTTATACTAAAATTTGATTCTTTTTCTCTTATGAAAGATTAACTTAAAAGTATCTTTGGCTTT